TAATTTTTGTTACATTTTGGGAATTTAAAATCATTATTGCAACATTTAAAACTCCATTGTTTTCCTTACACTGTAAAAAAATTTTGGTGCGTAATTACCACAATTTTTGCTGCTTATGCAATCTAAATGCATTTTTAAGTATGGAACTGTAGTCATCTTAAAGAAACATTATACTAAATTGACAAAATAACAATTGTTTGAAAGAATCAGGGCGAACACATTATTAAAACTGTGCTTGTTCTTTAAACGAAATGTTTTTGCAACGAATCCATTAAATTGATTCTAATGTAATCCAAATATATGATGTGAGTAAACAAACAAACGAAAAATTAATAGATAAAGAAAGTTGCAGGGAAAAAATAAATAAAAATTGTGACTATATGCACAGTAAAAATTTTAGCCTATCTCAAAACTTAAAAAAAAATAATGGCAACTATACGATACAATTTTTTTACGGCGTAGGTTTATCGTGAAATATATTTTTTTCTAAACTTCAAGTTCTAATATACGATTGGATATGAAACAAAATTTGTGATTAAAAGTTTCTCCGATTGCATAGCGTCCTCTTAAATTTAAAATTTATAAAACTGCTGTTTTGAGCAGTGCTGTGAACAGTTCAGCACACTGCTGTAAATTTCACGAGGTGAAGTTTCTGACAGTTTTGTGAATATTACTGTTGTAAATTTCGCATTGTGCAATTATGTGGTTAGCAATGTAATATTCATATGGTGCTTAGCAATGTTAATGGCAAAATGTAATGTCAAAAAGTAGTTAAAAATAAGCTCAAAACATTCGAATAAGACAAAATTATCCTAAGCAATGGAGTCTGACAAGCAATTATTAAAAAGAAATAATACGAGTAAATAATGAGTCTAGTAAAAAGCTTTTCATGCAACTCAATGTGGCACTTGAAATAGTTTTAGAAAAATTGTCCTGAAAGTCGTCAATTTTAAAACAAACCCATTACTTGTTGAATCAGTTAAAAAAAATTTTTTGATTTACGTCTTGCATCGTTCGTAAAGCACATAAAAATCCACTAATTTAAGCAGTTATCTCTCTCAGTCTAATGCATATCGGTTAATATTTTATGCATCTGAATTCATTTAATCGCATTCTGGTAGTCATTCAGGGGCAGTCACGAAATCTTCTCTCCAAGCTTCAAAGAGATTTAATGTCCCTTCAATTACTTAATATTCTCCAAAAGCTTTTTATATTTTTGTCTTTCTGCACCACCCCTACCACTTCCAAAAGCATTTTTATCCAAGACGTGGTGAACTTGCTGATACTATCTTTTGCTAAAGCTTTCTTTTTCTGTCGCGTGCTTGCTTGGCAACGGTTGCCATGGAAACCAAAGCGCGTGTCATTAGGTGAGACGCCATTTTGGCATATCCCCCCTTCCCCAGCCCATTCCTTCGGAAGCTGGACAGTTCGGGCGGAAGTCAACGATCCCTGGACCAATCAGGAGCTACGTTTTGACTGCCCTTCCAGTCCGTTGCCAGTGACAACGGTCAAATCTTGCGAAGTAGCGGAGACCCCAACTCAAATTATGCTTACTTTTTTCCTTCTTTTTTGATAGAGGAGGGCGGATTCAGGATATAAAAAATAATAAAATGGCAAAATAATGTTTTCATAAACTACAATATGTCTTACTTTCAGTTCAGTAGTTTGTAAAAGGAATTGTTCCCGATTGAATTTTAGCTTTATTTCCATTGGGTTTTGATTCTTCTACAAGAGATTTATTCCAGAATATTTCAGTACATAAAAATGCTGGATCAATGATGTGCTTTTAGAAGCAATCACAGAAAATCTTAAGGGAATTCGAATGTTTATATACGGACTGCATAAAAATGGCCAACTTTATCGTTGTTTTTCCGAGAAACTACTGAATCGATTTTTAAAACCTTGTCTATTAGAAACCTTTATCCTTCCGTTGTTGTTGCTAATTCTCCAAGGTTTCACTAAGTCAGACGAGATCCGTAAAACCTTTGACACTTAAGTGGACGCATTACCGAGCGATAAAATTTTCTTGAATAATTCTGTTTCATCCCCTTTGGTTCCTCAATTTAAAATCAAAAAAAAAAAAGAAAAAAAATGAGTCCAAGTAAACCAAGACTTTCCAAATGCTGAAATTTTTTCCCCTTCAAAATATTAAAATGCCGATAAATTATGGCAAAATTTTTTCCCAATTGCGGAATCTTGAGTAATCATTTCATAATTTGTTTGCATTTTGATATTTTGATTTTTTGCGAATAATATACTACTTTCATGAACATTCTTCAGTTGTTACTTGGAGCTCCGTAAACAGTACATCTTTACATCTGTACATTTACACCCGTGCAACCCAGGGTCACTCTCAGGGTTGCTTCATTTGAAGGCCTCCTTTGTTCTCTCCCACAATGCTCCCCGGATGTCCCCTTTTGTTGCGGGGCAGGGTTAAATTAAATTAAATTAAACTTTCATGACTGCTGTGAGTTTGCAAAAGTGACTGTTTGGTCAAGTTTAACCTATTTTTAGCCAGCCCTCTCTATGCTTATTCAGAAAATGGCGCAAAACATTTTTTTCAAAAATATATTATATTATATTTAAAAAAAAATACATTTAGAAAACTATATTAAAGTAAAATTTTATGGCTAACGTGAGATATAAAAGATAATAATAAAATATCATTCAGAAAAACAGCTTGTTGAAAATGCGCACTACAACAAGAGGAACAAAACTAAACTTATTTTTTTAAAGTGATTCAGTACCCCTTTTAAGGTTGCTATAGAATAATGAAAATGCGGTTTGAGATTTTGCGTCTAATCCAACTAAACTTGTGTAATTATTTCCTTTATTCTTTCCTTACTGACAATGCACGCAAACCGCTAAAGAATGTAGTTTGCATAAATCACTGTTAAGATGTTATCAGAATCGTTTCTATAAGCAGAGGAAGTAAATTTGCCGTGGGTAGAATGCGTGTCACGTGACTGATTTTTCCACGCAAAAGTTAACTCTTTGAGGAAAAATTCGTATTATGGGGAAATATCAAAATTTTAAAATAGCATTGCTAACTGTAATTGGAAAAATTCTTTTTTTTTTTTTTTTTTTTTTTTTTTTTTTTTTTTTTTTTTTTTTTTTTTTTTTTTTTTTTNTTTTTTTTTTTTTTTTTTTTTTTTTTTTTTTTTTTTTTTTTTTGTAGATGTGTTTAAATATTTTGATACCATAATTAAATTCTTTTTTTTTGTTGGTATTAATTAAATCTTAAAATTTTTTTCGTTGTCATTTTAAAAACAAAGCATTGTTTTAATAAAAACAAACAGTTATACGGCTTTAGTCAGTGCCAAAAACGTTCAGAACTGTTTTAGAAATTTGCATCTCGCTCCCATAGAGTTAGTGAAGAAAAACAAGCTGGAAACTATGAAGTATCTATAATGAATATCACATTGTTAGCGCTGTTTTTCGAAGCTCTGTCGCCAAGGAAAATAAGAAAAAGGCCACATTTTAAGTGCCTTACACTTGAAACAATGCGATGATTTCAAACTATATATATAATCTTGCCGTGAAGCTGGGCTTTAGAACGGACAAATATTTTAAAAGAAACTTAACTTTTTTAAAAATTGCCAATTTGGCGACATTTTCCCCCTAGAGGAAAACGAAGATTATCAAAATTACTGCCTTATTCACAGTTTTTGCAAATTTTTATGAGCTCAACTAATGCAGCATTGGAGTAAATTTTAAATATTAAAAAACTAGACCGCAAACGCTTTTCGTTTTCACAGAACTGTGGCTTTTCTCCATATAGACGTTTTGCACCATTTTGAAAATATGCGTCGTCAGCGCTGGCTTTAGAAAGACTAAACTTCACCTAACAGTCATGAGTAATAGCTTCAAACTCACAACAGTCATAAAAAAAAGCATATAAGCATCATTTCACATTACGATGGAGCGTTCGAAAAACAGCCTTAAAACGACGCAATACTGCGAGCAACTCATTACAGCGCAATTTGTTCACTGCTCGCTAGACTTGATTCGTTACTCCCTTATGGAGAGATAGTTTCTGATTAAATTTTAAAAACTGCATGTTTGCATCTGCACAGTATTAAAAATGATTTTACACTAAAATAGAAGCTAGTAAATGCTTGCTTAGGAAGTTAGCCAATGAGATTGTACAATTCCTAAAAAGCCTTTAATTTGTTAATATAAAAGTTCTGAACAACTTAAACACAATAAGGAATGCCACAAGGAATACTTTTTTCAGTTTTGAACCCCACTAAATATGGTGGCATTCATTGTTTACTGATTCTTCCTTGCCAAAATTTTGGAAGCAATTGGTGTTATAAAGAGCTCGCTCTTTGCTATTAAAACTGTGGAGAAAAATAAGATTGAAATGTTTGCAGTTTTACCACAAGCTTGGTAAAGCATAGTAAGACAACGCATCCTTAATTTTAAGATTATGTATAATGAAGGCAATTAAGGAGACCATTCATACAACCATCCAATTGTTTTACACTTGATTGCCTTTAGAAAGCTAATTGGCTATGGCATCAACACATTATTGACAATTGTTAAAAAATGGTAATTCTGGAGAGTGACTTTTTGACTGAATGTTACACTGGCGACTGACACTTATCCTTTTCTTTACATTATTTGCATAATGCTGTGCTTTAGAAATGAAAGAAGTTCTTTTATTGATTTGAAAGAAGTTGTTACATTGATCTGTAATAAATTTTTGCATTGATTATCAATAGGATTTTACTTTGATCTGCAATGAGTTTTATCAAGATCACAAAAACAGTATTCGGAGACAGATAAAGTTGTGACTCGCATTCAAGTCAGGGAATCACTCATATTTTAACGCTTATGTTTTCAGAAACATTAAAGTAGTACATACAGTAAGTGTACTTCTATAATTTTTTTATAGCAGTACTAATTATTTAGTACTGCGATACTGCTACTTTCATGTAAGTAGCACTTACATAAAAGTAGCAGTATGGAAGCACTTACGCGCAAGATTAGAAAAGCTAGACGCTGGTCAGTGGAGGACTTACTTGAAGAATGAGATCTCCTTCTGTAGGAAGGTCACTGTACATATGATCTCGAGATTTCATGCTATGCTCTTGTGATCTCTCCTGATCCCGATAGAGGGCAGCTGTTGAGGAAAAGGACCAAATATTAGTTACTACCTCAGACTTAATCATTTGTACAGCAAAAACTTTTTTAAATAATTTCACATTAAAAGTATGAAAAAGTTTGTCTAGGCAAAAAATTGATGTGGGTGTTTTTAAATAACTTACGTACAAAGTTGAATCGTGAGTAAAGTTTTTAAAAATTAATCGAGTGAATTTTTATCTGAAAACTGTAATAACTCTTTAAACTGTAATAATTGAGAGTTATTAATTAGATTTTTAAAATATTCTCTGTACCGTAAATTTTGACCGAATATTTATACGAAAATTCATTCCTTAAAATTTTGTCCATAAAATAAGCTGTTATTAAGAAAACATATTTTTTAAATTCAGCTTTTGTTGAAATTTTCTCACTTCTTTTACGTTGTTTTTTTAAAAAAACTTTTATTAAACTAAGTTTGAGAAGAAGAAAAACCTATTTTAGTTTTTAAATATCACAAAGGGATTTCCGGCTGTTTAAACATCTTTAATTACATTACTAAAATAGAATTAAAAGACAGATATTCAAAACTATATTCTACCCTTAATACTAAAAAAGGAAATATATATATATATTTATGGCAAAATTTTTTNTATATATATATACTGATATTGACAAAATTAATTTTCTTAAAATTTCAACTATTATTCATTCATTCAATGCATTTCTAATTAAGAGCATGGAATCTCAATTAAGATAAATCTTTTCATATTTTGGAGACCAATTAATGAAATAGTCGATTGTTTCCGTCAAGCCCAGAAACCACCTCCTCACGTATTTCGGTGTTTTTACAACTTGTCTTTTAATGTTTCATCTAAGTCAAAAAATACTCCTTTTTTCTTTTGTGCAAAGTGGAAAAAGCAAATTAGACGGTGCTTATTAAGAAATAAATTACAGGGTTGTCGGTTTGAGGGAAAAGGGTTTTCTGACCAATGAAGACATTTCTTTTTTGGCCGTAAGACGCCCATTTTTTTTCTTTTCTTCTTTTGCAAGCCAAACTAAGGGAATGTATTGAAACAATTTCTCAGAGTTTCTAGACTAATAAGAAGGTAAAAGTCACGTATAAAACTGACAAATGACTTGAGTTAATTTTGATTTTTCTTTAATGGATAATATCAGATTTTAACCAAGAGTTGAAGTTTTGTGCAAAGGTCATTCTGATTTTGTTTCCTGAAAATCGTGTTTGTCTGGAATTTGTGTAAAATCAATGGTTACGTTGGATTGGAACATAGTTTTGTGCAATATTTGTCGTCAAAAAAATAAAGAATAATAAAAAAATTGAGAATTCTAGATTAATGACACGGTGTAAGTCACGTACAAATCTGACACAATGAGTTTATTTTAAATAATGGTGAGTTAAACGCTGTTCCGCAAAGTATTTGCTATGATAGAAAAGAGAATAACGAGAATTTAAAATGTTTAGAATAATGAGATGGTATAGGTCTCGTATAAAATCTAACAAGCAGAATGATTTGACTTCAAGTTGTAAAGTTAGTTGGATTCCGTAAAATTCCGTAAAAGCATCATTCCGTTCCGATTGGAACATCAGTATGTTTCGTCATTCAAAAGATCCGAATACATTCACATAAAATATAGAGAATTCTGTAATAATGAGAAGAAAAAATTCTTGACAAATCTAACCAATGAGTTGAGTTGATTTTAAATTGTAAAGTAAATTGTGGGTAAGTTGGATCAGAACGTTGTTTCGTTAAACAATTATTATGAAAAACTTCAGGCATAAGCCCAGTACAAATGTGACAAATGAGTTGAGTTGATTTTAAGTTGTAAAGTAAGTTGGATTGGAACATCGTTCCGTAAAATTCCGTGAAAGCATCATTCCGTTCCGATTGGAACATCAGTATGTTCCATCATTCAAAAGATCCGAATACATTCCCATAAAATATAGAGAATTCTATAATAATGAGAAGAAAAAATTCTGGACAAATCTAACCAATGATTTAAGTTGATTTTAAATTGTAAAGTAAGTTGTGGGTAAGTTGGATCAGAACGTTGTTTCGTAAAACAATTATTATGAAAAACTTCAGGCATAAGCCCAGAACAAATGTGACAAATGAGTTGAGTTGATTTTAAGTTGTAAAGCAAGTTGTGGGTAAGTTGGATCAGAACGTAGCTTTGTAAAACAATTATTATCACAAAATTTAGGCATAAGCTCTGTACAAATCTGACAAATGAGTTGAGCTGATTTCAAGTTGCAAAGTATGAATTAGAACATCTCTTTTTAATAAAATTTCCCCAGTAATATTCTAATGAAGCATATACGATCATTTTCTTCAAAAAAAAATAAATAAAGAGGAAGAATAAATTGGATATTGACAAATTATGAATGGCGAAAAAATTTAATTAAAATTTTCAACCAGTATCTTATTTGAAATACCTAAAGACAATATTTTTTTTGGAAACAATGAAATAAAACAACTGGGGGATTGGATCTCCAATCGGATTCTGAATCCGTTATCGAGTTGGAAAGTGTTCAAAATTTCGATTGGATATAAATTTGCTTGTAGAAATCAACAAAGGAGTGAAAGAAAGTGTTCAAAATTTCGATTGGATATAAATTTCCTTGTAGAAATCAAGAAAGGAGTGAAAGAAAGAGGTCAAAATTTCACTTAGTAATGAATTCTGTTCGTCAATAACTTCTTCTTGCAGCTTTCAGGAAAATATTTATAATTTGTATCGTCATACGGTGAAAGAAATCTTGTTGAAATTTGGGCATTCTGGCCAGTCTGAAAAAAAATTGAAAATTCCATTGCGAGATTTGCAATAAGTAATGTAACGATTTAAAATTCTCTTAAGCATAATACCATACTCAAATGCTAACATGTTTCGTTGCTCAAGAAATTTAACAGGAAAGTCTGTTTCCCTGTCTTTGCATGACAAACGATAGTTGGGGAGATTATCTTATTTTCTGTTTACAGGAAGTTAGCGAAAAATCAAACTTTAGGTCACATTAAAATAAATCATTACCTGTTCACAGTTTTTCTTTGTTTTCCGGTGATTGTAACGTAGTTTACTTTATAATTTCAATTGTTTTTGCTATTACTTAAAATATGGTATTTAAAGTTAAACAATGGTGATTTTCGAATTCGTTTTGCAAATTGAAATTTGATTGATAGAAAAATACAACCATGTTAATAGAGGAACAGCGTAGTCAATAATAAAACATCACTCATCATTTTAAAAAAGCAGAATCAAACATGGGAAAATGTATTAGAATATTCTATATAGAAATAATAAGAACAAGAAATATGCATTAAGAAATTAATATTATAAATATTAATCGAAATTCTGGAAAATAAGTTAAGCCATTTTTTTAGAATCATTTTATTGGAAAATAATGATTGATCACTTTTTTAACAATTTATATATCACTTTTTTAACATTTATTAACAATTTATATATTTTCAAGATGAAGAACTTTTAATAATTTTTTTTTATTTAGTTTCGTTAATGATTACCATAAAGATTTTATTGATCAGAAAATGTAAGTATATTTTAGTTTTCCTTCCCCTTAGTACGATTTTTTAAAATCAAAATAATATCGAGAACTTAATAACTACACTGAGTAGTTTATTACGAATCGCCATTTTTTGTGATAAAATATTCTTTTCATTTATTTATTTATTTTTCATAAATTTTTGAATATACTATGCGTGCAATCGAATTAAAGAAATTCGTGAACATAAATTTTATTCAGTTTACTTCTATGTTCATGATAGTTTCTTTTATATCTTGAATTAACTTTTAATTGCATAAAATTTTGTCATCCCGAAAGAGATGAAGTAATTTTCCAATGTTCGATACTTTTCAAAAAATAAATAAATAAATAAATCCTCAAATTAAAAAGACAAAGCAAAACGTTAATGAACCAAAAAAGAGCTTTCAGAGAAAGAAAAAAAATTCCAATTCATTTCTCTATGCAAGATTTGTTCAAGTTGGCAGCAAATGCATAGATAAAGCAGTCATCGAACCATCATTTAGAAGTAACTCATCTCATTTGCCGCCAATATGGCGCGATGGCGAAAAGAACAATACCACCTTCCGATTTCTGTCAAATTACTTCATTGTCATAGATGAACATAAAAACTTGACAGCTTTTAAAAGTTCGTTCGAATATTTCAGTGGAAATTTCTCCATTGAATTTGAAAGTATCAGAGGCGTCAGAATCTGTGATTAAAGGGGGAGATCTCTTTAAGTGTCCCTTTCCCAGATCACGCAATATCTTCAGAATGAGGGGGGTGGAAAATGTCACGCAAATTGAGAAAAGATTCACTTTAGCTTCTTTAATGATAATGGTAATAACACAGAAAATGTCCGAACCCTTCCTATTATACTCCTTCATCGAGAAGTCATACCATTAGATATCGTCTGTCATTTAAGCTAGGTGCTGTGTTCTTAGACTAGATGCATCACGTGGTTGGTCACTTTTAATTTTCAATTGTCAATGAGCAACCATCGTAGTAGGATTAAGACTTTTTTGAGAACATTGTATTGTAACCCCAACGTAGAAGACGATTGAAATTAGTCACCGTAGAAAAAATAGATACTCAAAATTCACCAAGTTTTCTTGACGAAACCGTTTTCTGAAAGGTTTCGAGGGAATATTTCGTCAAATTAATTAAATTGACTAAATCTTCAAATTGATTATAGTCTACATTATAGTCAAATTGATTATAGTGGCTTGGGAAGATGAATTTCATCAAAATCATTAGGCTTAATACTACAACTTGATTAACACAACTGCTAGAACACGCCGAATAATAAAGGGGTTGTGAAGGAATGTGCAGGTAGTCACAGCTGGGGACTGAACCCGGGATACCTGTTTGCTGAAGGAGCTCACTAATCTCTGTACCCTCCGTTCATATGGTACAAATGATTTTAAAATCAGATAAATGAAAATAAAAAAAAGGCTTGAGAACTCATTACAGTGAGAAGACAAACGAGGACTAAAATGTTTTCGTTGAA